ACAATCAACAATAATAAACTACCCCTTCATATTATTTATGGTTTCCCACAACCAAAGAATTAAAACTACTCGCACATATCTAAATCTAAACTAAGAAAAGCAGTTAAACGAGACATAATTAATCAAAGCAATTAAATTACTGAAAATAAAAGGGGAAGAAATCGTTACCAAAAGAAACGGAAATGATCAATTGTATAAATCAAAAGTGTAGAGAGAAAACAAGAATATTCACCAAAGCTTAAAACTAAAATCTAGAAATTAACTAATGAGAAGAACCGTACTCGTCACTTGCTAAAAACGTATTTATACATAAGCACAAAAATCCTAAATAAAAACAACAAATTAAATCGTCAAAACACCCTAAGAAACACGCGCGGCAGAGCTTCGCCCAGTCGAGCCCGCCTTTTTGAACATTGAATCTTCACTCACGCCCGGTCGGGCGCAAGACAGGGTGAACCGGGGAAGGGCCTCTTTTCTTCTATATGCCTCGCCCGGCCGGGCGCGCCTCAAGGCGAGGGAAAACTTGGTCGGGCGAGCTATCGGGCAAGTTGGACCTCTTCAATTGGGCTATTTTCTTGGCCCAATTCGCATTTCCTCTTTGGCTCATTAAGACTCGGTCCATTGCCACAAACTCTTCTTCTTCACCGAGCCCTTAATCACCGGTTTGATTGCTTTATCGCGGTCTTGGGCTACAGAATACGGTCATAATAATGCGATCCCACTCCAATGCTCGTAGTGGCTCAAATAAGTCCGGGAAAATGCTTCAAATCTGCAATTTTCTATAAAACAATACCAAAACTACGAAAACACTAGAAAACGCATATTAGTATAAAAGTGGCTCCAAAGAGCCAATAATATTCCTAAATATGACCAAGGGACGGGGGTAAATCTCTATATAAAATGAACATATCATGTAATCTAGGAAAAACAAGGGTTTTGCTCCATAAGTAACAATGTCATTAACACTCAAGGTCAACACAAATTTTGCCTTGAAGTTTCAATATGGATAGTCATTTTAGAAATGAAATTTAAGTAATATATCAGTTTTTTTTGAGGAAATATCAAAGCATACTCTTCAATAAATTTCTATATACGGAATAGAAAATTGAAATTTTAGGTCTTCTATAAATTTCCTTCCTATTTGTTGCTTTATCCATATAATTTATATAAACAATACGGGAAATTATTGGTAACTCACAAGTACAACTAGTGCTCTGTTCTCTCTCCTCACAAAACGCTTTGTTCTCTCTCCTCCTCTAAAGAACACCTCTGCCGGAAACCTAGGTGCTCGCCGGAGATCCGGCGCCGCAGTCGTTTCTCCGGCGAGGTTCTTCCCTTCCCCCCACTTTTAATTTGCCAGGCGCCAGCGAGAGACGAGCATCTTCTGTTCTCGTCTCCTTTAATCCGCGTTCTTCTCTGAGGTGGCTCCAAACTCAGAGAGCCGCCGGAGCTCCGGCTGCCGCGTCCTCCGCGACCTCTTTCCCCCTCCTCTGACTTCTTCTTCTCTTGGTTTCTGTTTTCCTTCCCCTTTATTTTCTTTTCCCATCATGGGTTTGGAGGTTTCCTCACTCCGTTATCCTCTTTCTTCTTGGGGATTTTAATCCTTTTGAAGGTGTTTGTGAGAGCCTTTTCTAAGGTTCGAAGGTTCTAAGGGGAGTGTTTAGATCATCTACCTCTGTCTCCGTTGCCCACCTTTGTGTGGAAGGTTTGTGTTCATTCAAAGGGTCTCCCCGCCGGTGAAACAAGGCATAAGGACTAGGCCTAACGCCGCCGTCATAAAGGTCATAGGTATTTTTGACCGTGACAGAAACAGTAAAGTTAGGGTTAGGGTTTCGTGGGTCCTTGCACTGGAGGGCTAGGTCTAACGCCGCCGTCAAGAGTAGTTAGTGACGGAAACGGTGAAGTTAGGGCTAGGGTTTCGAGGTTCCTAGTGTAAGTGGTTTCGGGTTGTCGGGTTGGATGGTGCTCTCCACTGGTTTGTTCCCTTTCTTAAGTATGTTTGTTCTTAGTATTTATCAGAGTTTACTTGCCTTAGTTTTTGTTACGGTATATTTTAGCCCCCTTTGGTTGTTTTTCGGGCTATTTAGTTGTTTTGGCTATAGTATTTTGGATGGTTGTTTGCAGTGGGAGTTAAGCCCCTTTGTTAAGGACAGTGGGGTGTTTATTGTGGTAAGAGAGGTTACAGGTGCGGTTGTTGGGGGTTTGAACAAGAAGTTGGCCTTGGCTAAGGTGAAGTGTGTAAGTTGTTGGAGTGGTATGGGTTTGGTTTCTCTTTCCTCGGATGTAATGATTCTTTTGGTCATTACTTCTGATCCTTATTATCTGAAGCAGGCGCCCAAACTTTGTTTTGGGGTTTCTCGAGTCTCAACGTTGTCAAACCTTTCTTGCCAACAAGAAAAGCTATTGATTGGAAGGTCACTAGTTCAAGTGACCCGTTTGATGACCTTACTTGGTGATGAGTTGATCCCGCCAGGTAAGGATGTGCTAGCCATGGTCAAACAGTTTCGATCCCCTCCGTTGCTCTCTTCTTGGAGTGTAGTATGTTTCTGCTCCTTGGTTTGTAAGGAGTCCCTAATCTGCGACTTATCCGGCCAATTCAAATTTATTTTCGTCTTTAGTCTCAAAAGTTGTGGTAACGACTTTAGTGTTAAAAGCCATTTTTTAAGTTTAAGTTCTTGTTCTGTAGGTTGTAAACTCTGATTTTATGAATGCATTTGCTCTTGTAAAAAAAAAAAAATATATATATATATATATATATATATATATATATATATATATATATATATATATATATATATATATATATATATATATATATATATATATATATACACGGAGTACAACACAAACCGAACTGAAATGCTTGCAGCAAAATAAGACAGGGATCAGACATAACCTTACAACTTAGCTTTTTAAGTCTCAAACTCTCCTAAAGTTCTGCAGCACCTGTTATACAGCAAGTCAGCAATTAACCCATGTAGCTGTGAAATATTTATTAATATAAAAAAACTCATAAAATGAAGGAAAAAAAAAAAAGCCCAATCAATCAATAAATTAGAAACATACAATTATACAAACTCCAGCAATTATACAAATCAACTAAAGAGGCTCGGTTCAGTAAATTAGAAACATACAATTATCAAAACTCCAGCAAGCAATAACACAACCCAAAATAATCCAGAAAACTAGTCCAAATGCAACATGGGTAGTCATCAATATCAGAAAATATATGTTAATCAATCATTCAAAATCAATAGTGACAATTTAAGTGGAGGTCTAATATTAATGATTCATGTTTATCTGCACAATCAATCAGCAAAGAAGTCGGAAAAGCAATCACAAGATCAAACTTTTCAAATTCAATGGTAATAATTGAACTCATTTAGTCACTTACCAATAACAAGAATGAGCATGACAGCAAAGCAGCGATAAGCTCCTACATAAAAACACAAATAGTATTGTTAGGAAATGCATTTCATATATTGTTCCGCCCAAGGTTGAACAATTAAAACTATAATAAGATAAGAGATCTAGTAGCAATAAAATTAAGATATCAATCACGCTAATTATTCATCAATTAGGGGGCAACATATCCACAATCTTGTTTGTAGGCATAATTCTAAGCACTAACACTAGGCGAAAAATACAAATGGGCACCGGTTCAAAACCCCCATTTAGCACTGGTTTTAAACCAGTCCTTATTTGAGGGATGCCAAAAACCAAAAGATTTCGTATCGGTTCTTGCTGTGAACTGATGCGAAAATGGCCCAAAAAAATTATAAAAAGAACTTTTAGCACCGGTTCTGTTTCAAAATCGGTGCCAAAAATGCCCCAAGAAAATAATTTTTTTTTTTTTGGCATTTTTTTCACTTAAATTGATATATAAACACTAACATATATATATAAAGTTACAATTTTTCTGGTTGCTGTATAGTTTGTGCATCTCACAAAAGCAATAAATAGTACTACACTCAGAAAAATGCAATAGCTACATTTAGGGCTGTACACCGGTCCAAAACCGGACCGGACCTGGACCGGGCCTGTTGGGACCGGGACCTGAATCAGGGAAATTTGAGGACCGGAGACCGGACCTGATTCAACAGGTCCGGTTCCGGGTTAGACCTGAAAAATCAGGTCCGGTCCGGGTTCGGACCTAAATAGACCTGTTTTTTTTATTTATTTTTTGATTTTTTATTTAAAAAAATAAAATAAATAATAACATAAAATTTGATATTATCAATCATGAATACTACATAAATTGTATAAATTGACTAAAGTCCCAATTCCCAAACACCAAAAATACTAGACAACAGTAACCACCAGATCTACCACCTTCAAAGTAGATGGTCGCAAAGGAAGGTCGGGGTAGATCGTGAAGCGAGTAAGAGGGCGATTGGTGTATGATTGGGTGGCTGCAGTCGCTGGAGTCGCGCGATCTGGTGGATGCGGTCGCCGGAGTCGCGCGTTCTGGTGGCTGCGTTCGCTGGAATCGCGCGTTCTGGTGGCTGCGTTCGCTGGAATCGCGCGATCTGGTGGTTGCGGCCTCTAGTGTCGCGCGTTTTGGTGGCTGCAATCGCTGGAGTCGCGCGATCTGGTGGCTGCGGTTGCTAGAGTCGCGTGTTTTGGTGGCTGTGGTTGCTGGAGTCGCGCAATGTGGTGGTTGCGGTTGCTAGAGTCGCACGTTCTAGTGGTTGGGGTTGCTAGAGTCGCGCGATCCAGTGGTCGCTAGAGGAGTGTGCAGCGTGAGGGAGTGGGTTTGTAAGTGTGTTGTGTGACTTGTGTTGGCTGAGTGGGTTAGGGAGTGAGTGATTAAGTTAGGGTTAGAAATGAACTGACTTCTTGTTTTGATATTTGGGAAAAAAAAGTTTTTTTTTTTAAAAATACATTTTTACCGGGTTTCAGGTCCAGATCTGAAAACCCCGGGTTTGGACCTGATCCGGACCGGGACCGGAAACCTTGAATTTTAAGTACCGGGACCGGACCTGAATCTACAGGTCCGGGTCAGGTCCGGTCCCAACAGGTCCGGGATCAGGTCGGTTTTCAGGTCCGGTCCTGTTTATGTACACCCCTAGGCTACATTGATTATTGGCTGTGCAATGAAATGGATACATACAACACTAAAAAGACGTGTACAATTGTACAGAAGCATACTATGTTAGGTTTTTTTTTTTTTTTTTTTTTTTTTTTTAAAGAAAAACAAAGCCAAAAGTTTCAACATCAAGAATCTACCAAACAAAATATACAAAGCAAATAGGCAGCGGCAAAGCAACAGGAATAACAGCTAGAAGAATACACCTCTAGACAACTTAGCAGCAAGCTTGCAACACCAAAAAGCACACCAGAGCGACCTTTGAGTAACCAGGACAGCAAGCAAACAACAACAGCACATCCAGCATAACAGCGACAGCACCAGCAAAACTAGAAGCATCGAACCCAGCAAAGCATCAGCAGCGAATACCAACAACAGCACATAATCAAGTTGATGCAGCGCTAGCAGCCAGGAACAGACAGAGAACAGCAACTGGAACACACAGATAAAAAAAATAGGCTGCAGCTAATACAGAAGCACAAAGAACAATAAAGAACCAGGTAACAACCCAGCAATCCACAAAGCAACAGCAGACAGCAAAGCAGCAAGGTTGAGCATCAGCTGGCAAAGCAGACCATAGAACAACAACAGTTGGTAGGCAGTAGAGCAATAGACAACAGACGCTGAGAAACAACAGGCCAGCAGCCCACCAAGAACAAGCAGCTAACAAAACAAACAGAAGACAAAACCAGCCATCACCAGACCAAGCACCTGCAAATATTAGATGTGTGTGCTCAAAGGTGAATGAAAAAGGATGGTAAACATGAATTCAACCACCACCAACAAACAGGTTAAAAGGAAGGCATGAACTTTGTAAGAGGACTTTCTTATTTCTACTCTTTTTTTTTTTTTTTTTTTTTTTTTTTTTTTTTATATTTTCCTGTCGTAGTAGAGAACATAGAACATACCTCAATTGCAATAGTAACTGGACTAAGATTATCTACCTTTACATTCCCTAGCTTCGATGCGATAGCTGCAAACAAATTAGTATGGATGTTAAAATAAGATACATCCCCCTCTAATTCCACTCTGCCAAACTGGAGTTGTTTTGCAATCAAAACACCATATCTTGCTGCCATTGCTTCAGCAAGAATGACAGGAACATCACCTGCGGGAACTCTTTTCACACTGGCAGCCAGCACCCTGCCAACCCCATCACGAATTACAACTCCAAGGCTTACATCAATTCCAGCCAACAAGGCAGCATCGAAGTTCACCTTCACAAAACCATCAACAGGTAGTTCCCATTTGCTACGACCATGCTGACCACTTGATCTTACACCCCATTTACGGATTCACAGAACCATCAACAGTAGAATTAACATTCATACACCAGCATTTTCAAACAAATTAAGCTGTTTTAATCAGACATTTACGGCTTATCATATACTTGTAATCAAATAAAGATTTAGAACAATCACAACAAATATTTCAATATCAATCAAATCTTGTTAAAAATTCACAAACCCATCACCAAAAATCCAAACAAAAACAAACCCTTATAACAAAATCATCCAAATCACCTTAAAATTCAACAATGCATATGGATTAAATTACAAGAAATAACTTGGGTAAAATATACATACTTCATGATGGGAAGATTCCAGAAGAAAAAAAAAAAAAATAAGAACCCAGAAAAGAGAAAAGAAAATCCAACCAAGAATATAATGCAAACCGAGGAACTTCAAACGACAAAAAAATCTCAGAAGCAATTGAAGAAAAAAGTACCTCAAGTAAAGGTTGAATTAACTCCTAGCAGTGCGTTATAGAAACCATTAACTCATAGCAGTGCGTTGTATTTGGTTCAAATTGACGGCGGCGGTGATGGTGGTTGTGCTTGGTTCTAATCACGCCGATTTCGGACTGAGAAGGAGAAGGAGAGCGGCATTGCTTGCGACGCAGTTATGGAGAAGGAGATCGAAGGAGAGAGAAAAGGAAAGGAAAAGCGACGGTTATGGAGAAGGAGATCGAAGGAGAGAGAAAAGGAGTTTGAGGAAAGAGTTGAGCCTCCATTGTTGAACCGTAGGAGAGAGAAGGAGAGAGAGGCAGATGAGAGAGGAGGAGAGATCGAGGAAAGAGAAAGAAAGTTAAAAAGACCGTTTTTTTTTTACAATAGAATTCGCACCGGTTTGAACCGAACCGGTGTGATTAACTCATTTTTCGCACCGGTTTGGTTAGAACCTGTGCGAAAACTCTTTCCCTCAATCCCGCCTATATTTTTTGGCGCCGGTTTTTAAAAACCAGTGCGAAAATTGCGGTGCTGATTTCTGTCTTTCTACTTGTGTAATAATGGATGGAAATTTTTTAGTATGAAATAATATAATTTGGGCAAAAAACATAAACTTATATATACACCAATTTATCATAATTTAGGAATTAAAAGGGGAATTTATAAATGACAGACGAATTGAAGTAATACCTGAGACTAGAGTGAGAGCTGAGAAGAGACAAGTACTTTCTCTTTCTTGTTCATCTACCAAGAAGTCGCTGCACCACAACCACCAGTGCTGCACTCCGGGTGCACGCTAAAAGTGCACTGCTCATGAAGATCAAACACTTGGGACTTCGAAGACCAATTCCAAAACTTAGAAGTCAAACCTGGCCAAGAGTAAAATCAAAGCACATCAAGACTAATAGAACTTGACTAAATGTTAATGTTTGTATGCAATATCAATAGTATCAATTTTGACTATTATTGATGTTAATTAAAAGAGAAATATTGATGTTATTTCAAATAAAATAGCAATGTCATTATGATTTGATGCTGATTGCTCTTTCACAATTCTTCTTACAACCTGTACTACATAAGAAGAATCTCCCAGTTGTCTGTTCTTGCTTCCCTTCATTACTTCCTTTGCATTCTAGTTAATACATTTGATGCTCACTTCTCTTTCATAAGCTTCTTGAAAGGCTTTCAACTAGAAAAATCCAAAGTGCAATCCTTCCTCATACTTCTTACTTTGTCCTCTTCAGTGGGGATACTATGTGCGAGGCAAATCTAGAGAGCTCAGTAAACTTTTTACCATCTTAGAGATATGACAGCTTAGTCTGGTGAGGTATTGCTAATTTGCTATTATCAGTATAATAGTATACCACCAAGCAGCAGAAATATAGTTATCATCTGATGCAATAGGTAATTTGATTTTTAGTCAACTGCTACTTAAAAAAATCCAAGCAAGAAACAACTCAGACTTAAACCAATATAAATAAAATAAATTAATATTCCTAAACCTGATACAAATCGTTAGATATTACGCCATTACAAATCAAAAAATCAACATCCGAACACTAACTCATTTGAGAATAAACCTATACCAACATATAACCCAAATCTCATAACTTAAAGTTTCTCCAAAATTTAATCAACAACAACAGAAATTAAAAATGAGCAGAAGCAGAACAACAGAAATTTGTCCAAACACTTAATTATTCGCAAAATGGAACAAGTAATTTAAAAAATGAATGTGAAATTATCAACAAAAGAAATGTAAGGGAGAGAGAAATAACCTGAAGAAAAACAGAGGGAAGGAGAGCAAGGAGGACTATGCGAGAGAGTGCCGCTAGTGGAGGAGTGAGATAAGCCGCCGCTGCTGGTGGAGGAGTGATCTGAGAGACTGAGAAATCCTATCATTTCACATTCTCACCATTAAATTCATTCAAAATTTCAATTGTTCATCATTAATAAAATAAAATAAAAAAATCATAAAACTTAGATTTCAAATCCAAGAAACCCTAACCTCGAATTTGTGATTTTTGAATCGATAATTGATTCAAGTTTGTTGTTGCTGTTGTATTTGGTTCAAATTGACGGCGGCGGCGATGGTGGTTGTGCTTGGCTCTAATAACACCGATTTCGGACTGAGAAGGAGAAGGAGAGCGGCGTTGCTTGCGGCGCAGTTCTGGAGAAGGAGAGAGAAAAGGAAAGGGAAAGTGGTGGTTATGGAGAAGGAGATCGAAGGAGAGAGAAGGAGTTTGAGGCTCCATTGTTGGAGATGAGAGAGGAGGAGAGATCGAGGAAAGACAAAGAAAGAAGAAAGAAAGAGAAAGAAAGAAGATAATGAAAGGCCGATTTTTATTTATTAATTTTTTTTACAATTGCATTCGCACCGGTTCGAACTAAACCGATGCTAATAACTTCATTTCGCACCGGTTTGGTTTGAACCGGTGCCCGTTTCCTTTTCCCTTTTTGTCGCACCAGCTTTTAAAAACCGGTGCGCATTTTACGGTGCTCATTTAAGTTTTTCTACTAGTGATTCCGACCTTAGATGGATTGTAGTTTTAGACTTTGCACAATTTTGGGATAAAGGGACTAAATCTAAAGGATAATTTGATGCGGATTTTTAATGGTTTCCACTAAAATTCTGACCTTAGATGGATTGTAGTTTTAGACTTTGCACAATTTTGGGATAAAGGGACTAAATCTAAAGGATATTGAACAATTAAATCTAGTCAAGATCAAATTGTAACTAGGATATGGAGTTATTATTCCTGACTAAGGTTTAATAACAACTAAATTGGTAGCTTTCTCGGCAAAATATCATATGCAATTCTCTTGCTAAAACAACTCATACGGATTGATCAATTATAACCCAAAACTTCTTTCCCTTCATTAATAAAAATAAAGAATATTTATAGGCAAATATCCCATGCTGTTAGGATAACTAAAAGATAACATAAAATATATAAGATATAAATACTAAATACTAATCCTAAATAACAAAATTTATCTTCTAATAATATTTGAAAATTATATCTTATCAATCTACTAATTCTACTCCGACTCTAATTCGATTAGTCACGTGTAATTTTAGGATTGACGCCACTCAACCTCATGATTAATAGACGACTCAATAAAAATAAATAAAAATAATAAAATGATGATATTGATGCCTTGGATACGCATCATCTTTGGTAATCAAGCTTGTTGATGTTTGTTGGTGAATGAAAACGGAGGAAAATGACCTTATTTATAGGGAACAAGAGGGAAAAGATCAGAAAAAGAGTCAGAATCCGACTCGGAGTAAAACGCCTTTCATCATGTAATGATGGATTCATCGCGTCGCAATGCTTATATCGTTGCGCGATATTTGCATCGCTGTGCGATATACCAACGCTGCGCGATGCTTTTCAGAATATAAGATCCGTACGGAATCCAACTTTCAATCAAATTGGGTTAGTCGAATATCCGTACTTATCCTTATTTTATCAGAATTAAATCTATTAAAAACAAGTGTTTTATTTGAAGTAAAATCCTTAACCTTTATATTTTCAAAAGCAGGATAAATTAGAACCTTCTAGAGGATTCTAGAAGCTAATAATAAATCCTAAGGGATTTAGGACTCAAAACAACCTTCTAGATAATTCTAGAAACTTATGATAAATCCTAATGGTTTAAGAAATACAGTTAAGATAAATGGACCTTCCACATGATCATTGGGTCGCAGGTAAGACTCGGTTTGGACCCAGTTTAGTATTTTGGCCATAACTTCCTCATTATAACTCAGATTTGGGCTTATAATATATCATTGGAAAGCTCTTATCAAACCCCATCCAACTACACAATCATTGAACCCAGATTATGGACTAAAATAAACTGGTTTGGACGTTTTTATAAAAATGACACGAAATGAATGATTTTTAAGGATACGAAATGAATTATTTTGGGTTTAAGGGCACAAAATAAATGACTTTGGCTTAAATTTTTTTAGGAAAGGTTAGAAATGGTCAAGGTTAAAGGAAAATTCACGAGACTCTTCAACTCTTCACCGAACTTGATAATCAAAGACATGAAAGGTACTCATCACTGGGTTTGTTTTGAGGAGACACAATCAGGTGTCTACACACCCCGCAGTCGGAGCGGGAGAAAATCGGATGCACGGAGTGGATCTGAATCACGCATCGAGCGGTAAGGATAGTATGGTAACCCATGATCAAAAGAGAAGTAGTAGACGTGTGCTGGTGATGACGATGAGAAGCAACAACCATGACCTATGTAGAGTAGAGATAAGCGCTGCTAGGTCGGCGGAGAAGGAGAAGAGTCGCGCACATATTTGGGCTAATAAGTTGCTGATCCAGAGAAGAAGAAGCTAAGGGATCAAACCATCATTGAGAAGAAGACACTACACTACTACGGGAAATCACAATTGAAGAAAAAACAAATAAGATAGCCTAAATCCCACACCGCTTAACCACTAGGAACTGTTTACCTCTTAAAAAAATTGACCCTCACAACAAGATAAATTCCACCAAATTAAAACAATTAGCGGCTGGATTTAGAGAATGAAAAATTCCACCGCATGTACTTGTGATAAAATTAACAATAAACTGAAAAGGTAAAAAAAATTGTTGTTAGTGCCAATGCAAAAATCCAACATTCCCTTTAAGTTATTGTACGTAGTGTAGTTGAACAAGGGGGCTCCAGCCAAAGTAGAAGACCTCCTCTGGGAAGAGGGCTAGGAGCAAGACGACAACGTAACTAAGGTGGTGGAGGCCAACAACGACATCGAGAAAAAAACAAGACTAATTAACAAAGGGGTGGTTTGTCTCGTGAGTATGGCTCATCCAAGACTACTATCAATCATTGGATACGCTATGCAAAATTGCAATTCAGTCACAGATTAGGATAAAGAAGGAGGACTATGAGTGATCGAGGTGGCGTATTAGGTGGAGAACCAAGAGGTAGAGGTGGTGAACAAAGCTCCTGTGTATGGTGGGAAGATGGAGCACAAGAGGGGTTGCCGACGATGGTGAACCATCGTACCCGTACTTAATTGCGAAAGCGGAAAAACAAAGTGTGTATTTTTTTTTTGTGTAATCGTTTGTGAATCCCGCCGGTAGGTATAATTTTCTAACCTACCGGCAGGGGAAGAGAAATTTTTAGATCTAAACAATCTCAAGATCTAACCTAAGTTGTGATACCATGTCAAATAATATAAACTCCTCAATTAGAGTGGTTTCCATTAATCAATGTTCATAGAGTTATAAGGAGAGTCCTAATCATATTTGGTAACTAACAAGATATGTAAAGATATTATAAAGATATTGTTATACAAAATATATCCTAAATTTAAGATGAGAATATTCTATCAATATTCTCTATCACACCTGATTCACACTCTACACTAATTCGGATTCAGGGATCAGTTTTGAGTGGTTAGGTTCTAGTCCTTTTCTATTGTTGTGGGAAATCGAAAAATGTCATTTATTTGAAACAAAAAGAAAGGGGTCGTAGTTATTGTTGTCAAATTTTTCGTCCTTTACTTTCGTCGAAATTTCAGACATTATCACCGTCACAATGCGAAAATAATGTGTAGTCTTTTTTTTTTTTTTTTTTTTTTTTTTATAGGGTGTGTATAGTCTTTAGTCTTTAGTTCTTTACTACCTAGAAGAGACTTTTTAGTCAAGAAAAAAAAAGTATCCTCCCCGTTTATAAAAATGGGGCAAAACATTCCGCTATTTACACGGTAATTAAGCTTGACGAGTTGAAGTAAGAAATGGCATCCATGAAATGATTCTCTTTAAACTATGCTCTACTAATCATACTTAAAATATTCTCGCCAATCACTGCCTTTTCTTCAATAGGTAATATTTGTTTTAGTCTTTACAGTTTATTTCATAGTCTATTTACTTGCATGATTTTATGGTAATCATCCTTAAAATGACTACAATTATACTAATTTTTATTGCCTGATTTTGATTTATTTTATAATGTCAAAATTTATTATAAATCATTTATCTAATTTTAAAAATTCATTTATTAATTTTAAAATAATTTTTGTTTTTTTAATAATTTTCTTAATTAATTTTAAAAATTCAGTTTTTATTAAAACTGAAATTAAAAAATAATTAATAAATTAATTGTGAAAACATAAAAAAAATAAAAATTTAAACGATAAAATAAAAATATTTATAATTAATTTTGACATAAACTATAGATTAAAAATCAGCCAGTAAAAAAATAGTATAATGATAGTCATTTTAAGGGTGACTATCATACCCTCCTACAATAGGTAGGTAGCAATTTAAATAAAAAAAAAGGATGACTATCATATAATTTTCACTATCCACTTATTATCAACGTTTTATGCATGCATTTGCCTCAATCTTGTCAATAGTCTCACTTCAAGGCTCCAACACAGAATTTACTATCATCGTTTAAGACAAATATCTAAATTTTGAGGACTTGTTGGTTATCATTATTTGTTAACCAAACTCTTAAAACAAACACGTGGAAGCACAAAAAAAAAAAAAAAAAAAAAAGAAGATAATCTATAGGTTTTTTATTTATTTAATATATATATATATATATTTTTTTTTTTTCATTTTTCAAATTCAACACAATTACTATATGTGTAGGCATCATATAATATATCAAATCGTATGACTTTCTTAGTTATAAAACTAAAATCTGGAAACCAACAATAATGTCGAGCAAATCCTGAAATTTTGGTTTTGACAAGATTTTACCTTTAGCCCTTTTTTTTTTGAAAGAAGATCTTACCTTTAGTTTAGATACAATAATTTGGTTTTTTTGGAGTTAATAGGAAGAAATCTACTTTATGATAATAGGGATAGGCAGGAATGAATATTGATGGTTTTCCTTAAAAAAAAAAAAATGAAACTACATTATTTCAATAAAAAAAAAAAAAAAAAAAAAAAAAAGATATGACCAAGTGTACCCATTATATCAATACTAAAATTCAAGTTCATGATTTGCGATCCTTTTTCTCAGTGGCGGATCTTGGTTAAAAATATTAGAGGGGCTGGGATATAGATATTTTACTTCCCGCTCAAAACTAATCACTATTTCCTAATACTTATAAGTAGAATACGGTTATTTAAGTTTGTTAACTAATTAATTACAATAATTTTACCGAGGCCGGGCCCCAAATGGCCTCGGTGGAAGGTCCCTGCTTTTCCTCATTTCCTTAACAGTTTTTATTGTATAATGATTTTTTTTTTTTTTTTTTTTTTTTGGCTTGCTCACTTGAAAAAACTTAAAATGGATCGGATAA